ATCATAAGATTTTGATTCTCTGGCTCTAAGTGTATGGACTGAGCATCCTACAAATGAGTCCTAAGTCCAAGTTTAAGGTTCACAGTTTATATTTTCATATAAAAAATGCTGTCTTCTACCCTGCATATTGTTTCTTCTTCTGATTCTCCTCTTTGACTTTTCTCCACAATATTTCTGTTCATTGCACTGATGTAGGGTTGTGTAAGAAAAACATCCTGCCACATTCAGTGTGAGAGCAGGGATTCTAGCAGTCCAGTGCCTGAGGTTGGAGCCACTGAATTGAAGTAGGGAAGAGTAAGGGCAAGAGTGGGAAAGAATGAGTTGTACTGGGCTGACTGATAGTGATTACATGAGAGAAAGAAAAAAAAAAGACAGCAATTGAATGAGTTTGGATTCTCAACTTTGATTACAAAAGATTTTTTAAAAAATGGCTTCAACTTTGATTACAAAAGATTTTTTAAAAAATGGCTAAATGGAGCAAAGAATTAGATGCATAAGTCATGTTAATTACTTAACTCTGTTGTTTTCATTCTGATGGTTTAGAATGCTCTGTTTATACTAAGTATAGCTACTAATTTTGGGGTGAAAGCAGCCCAGTTCCCAAAATTAATCTACACAGTTCAGAAAACAGTCATTTAAAACAATTTTTCATTACTTTTTTCTTAAATTTTGTTCAATATATTTTTTATTTAAACTAGAAACATGCTTGCTTCACATGTCAATCCCAGCTCCCTCTCCTAACCCTCCTCACTTGTCCCTTCACCAGCCCCCCAGTCCCACATCCCTCCATGGGGGATCTCCAGGATCTGTCATTTCATCTGGGGTGGTACCTAGGCCCTCCCCCTTGTGTCTAGGCTAAGAGTGCATCCCTCCATGTGAAATGGGCTCCCAAAGTTCATTCGTTCACCATGGTAAACACTGATCTACTACCCAAGACCCCAGAGATTGCTGAGACCTCCTCACCCATACTATATTCAGCGGGTCTGCATCAGTCCCCTTCTGGCCTCTCAGCTATCAGTCTGGGGTTCAAGAGCTTCCCCTTGTCAGGTCAGCTGACTTTGTGGGGTTCAGCAGCACAGTCTTGCCCCATTGCTCATCACTCCTCCCTCTCTGTCACTGGGTTCCAGGAGTTCAGTTCAGGGTTTAGCCGTCGGTATCGGCCTCTGCTTTCATCAGTCCCCGGATGAAGGTTCTAGTATGGCATATAAGGTAATCCTCAATCTCATTATCAGGGAGGGGTGTAAAGAGAAGCTTTTTCTTTGCTAGCCTCTTTGGTTTATCGCCTGGGCTCTGCCACGTTGTAGTCCCCAAATAACACACAAGATGCTGTATTAATTATGAAGCTGTTGGCCTTGCATGTTTCTTACTGGCTAGCTCTAACTTAAGTAATTACCCCATAATTGTTATTCTAAGTATGTCTCTTACCGGTGAATAGTTCCGGGCTTCCTACCCCATGGCGTCACATGTCGACTCTCCTGTGTTTCTCCTTCCCAGAATCCTCCTGGATTCCTAGCCCCATCTATCTAGATTCCTATTGGCCAGACAGTGCTTTATTGACATATACACAGGACTTCCCCAACATCTCCTCTTTTCTGTTTAAACAAAAAGAAAGGTCTTAACTTTAACATGGTCAAATCATATATAACAGAACAGTTATCAAGTAAGAATACAGTTACAATATCTTGTCTATCAACATTTAGCAAGATTTAAAGAAAATATCATCCATCCCATCCTTGTGAGTCTAACGTTCTATGTAGCTTATCTTTTATCATAACTAAGGAAAACTATAACTATAACTATCTGTCTTCAACTCCATCAAAGACCACAGAAGGATAATATATAATCACTAGGATTGACAAAGACATCTTGCTACCTGGACAGTCACCCAAAGTTCCTCTGTAACGTTGGGGCATCCATCTTCAGCTCATAGGCCACAATGTGTCTGGAACACTTCTCAGCAAAGCAGGAAATTTCAAACAGTCCATCTGCATTGGCAGTCTGTCAGTCATTTCTCTGTGTCCTGCAGAAAGTCTCGTAGACTCTTCATGAAGCAGGAACCCTGTAAGACTGAGTTCAGCAGTCACTTTTCTGTGGGTCCTGCATGTCCAGATTATACAACAACAGTCAAGCAGTACAGACAAGAGCAGTTTCTTGCCTAAATGGCTAACCTTGCCATGTTGAAAGCAAACTCCATGACAAGTTTCTTCGATGCCCATCTTCCTCTCAGACATAATTGGTGCTGCCAGGAACAGACATTTCTCATTGTCAAGAAAAACCCTAAACCATTTTAAATGCCATTTTCTGAAGGTCTTTGAGAGGTTTGAAGACTGTTTACCTATCTCAAATATATTTTTGTATATCTAGAAAACCTAACTTACCTAACTATAAATTCTGACTATTATTAGTAACTATCTATAATCTGTATTTAATTACGCATTACATTTTAAAAGATCAGTATAAGCACAATACTTAATCAAGAGGAGAAATATACATATCACAAAATTGACCTTGAATTTGTATCAATAAATGAAAAACAATACCCATACCATAATTCCCTTTTTTACCATTAAAAAAATATTGGCTGTGATCATTAGCCAATTATAAACAACCCCATTTAAACGAAAACAAAGATTTATAAACAAGATGGGAATTAGGACGTCACTCATTCCAAACTGCTTCGTGCTGGAAGGGGGCGCTGTTCATACCATGGGGATCATGACAAAACTCAGAAACCTGTATAAGTCCTTATTTTCAGGGTCTGTAAAGCTCCATCATCTTAGCTGTTTCAGTTGTTGGAACACCTTGTCCACTCCTTCCGGGGTTCTTGGTTCGTCAAACCACAGAAGCCTGGAAGGAATCCTCAGCTTTTCATTTTCTGTAGAAACATAAGTAAAATCTCCTTTCCCAAGTAACATATCCTTATACTTATATTTTGAAGTCAAGGCATTTTCAAAAGATAGAAGTTGAATTAATTCAGCAGCATATACAATCAAGTGTACTTTAGTTGTTCCTTCCTTAGCAATGAAAACACTGAAAAACATAATAGCGTACAGTATCCAGACTTTCTGTGTATTTTCCATCTTTATGTGGCTTATTTATTCATCTATTATTACTCTATTTCCTTTACTTTTATTTCTTTTTCTCTGAGACAGGGTTTCTCTTTGGAAATCTGCCTGCTTCTGCCTTTGCAGCAAATCTTACTCTGCCTCCCGAGTGCTGGGATTAAAGGCATGCGCCACCAATGCCTGGCTTTTCCATTTATATACCACTTTGTCATTTCATTTTCTCTCTCAATCTCACGTATATTTTTAAACACACTGTAAACCTTTAGAGGTTTTGTTCATCCAAGTCTGACTTTACTGTAAATCTTTACGTTTTTCTGGTCACCTGTCTTATCTGTAAAACCGCGGCAGTTTAAACTACCTTTTCCAAGATGGTGGGCATCAGTGTGAACCTCAGTCCATGCTGACATCCAGCAAAAGCTGTCACTTCCAGCTGTACGTACACACCTTTTAATAGTTAGCAGAGTCTCTTAAAACAACCTTGCTGTTTTTTTTTTTTCTTTTTTTCTTTTTATGCCGAGTCAGGAAGACTCCGGTAAGCAAGCCACGTGAATCTCGGCTTGCCGCTAGCAAAACAGAGCCCCACCCCCCCCCCCCCAGAAAAATGCTGCTACCAAAAATCTGTGCTTCTCTCCATTCTTCTGTTTCTAAAATTCCTTTAAATATTTTGTTATTTTGCGTGGAAATTCAATCCCGCTCCTGACAACCATTCTGTAAAGAGAAGCTTTTTATTTGCTAGCCTCTTTGGTTTATCGCCTGGGCTCTACCACGTTGTAGTCCCCAAATAACACACAAGATGCTGTATTAATTATGAAGCTGTTGGCCTTGCATGTTTCTTACTGGCTAGCTCTGACTTAAGTAATTACCCCATAATTGTTAATCTAAGTATGTCTCTTACCGGTGAATAGTTCCGGGCTTCCTACCCCATGGCGTCACATGTCGACTCTCCTGTGTTTCTCCTTCCCAGAATCCTCCTGGATTCCTAGCCCCACCTATCTAGATTCCTATTGGCCAGACAGTGCTTTATTGACATATACACAGGACTTCCCCAACAGAGGGGCTTCTAAGGTAGTCTCTCCACTTTTGTTTAGTTTGCCAGCTGGTGTCATTCTTGTAGATCTCTGGAAATCTCACTAGTGTCAGCTCTCTTCTTAAACCTATAATAAGTCCCTCTATTATAATATCTCTCATCCTGCTCTCATCTATTCTTCGCCCAACTCAAACTTCCTACTCCCCCATGTCTCCCTCTTCCCTCCTCTTCTCTCCCTATCTTTTTCTTGGTTCCCTCTCCCCTCCCACCCATGCTCCCAATTTGCTCAGGAGATCTTGGCTCATTCCCCTTCTCTGGGGTATCATACATACATCTCTCTTGGGAATCTTCCTGTTTCTCAGACTCATTGGCAATGGGATTGTACGCTGGCCCTCCCCTAATCCATGTCTAAAATCCATATATTAGCGAATACATACCATGTTTGTCTTTTTGTGACTGGGTTACCTCACTCAGGATGGTTTCTTCTAGTGCTGTCCATTTGCCTGCAAATTTCAAGATTCCATTGTTTTTTCCACTCTTGAGTATATATATGTTGGAGTACAAACAGCAGAGGACAACTTTCAGAAGCTTGTTCTTGCCTTCCTTCTTGCAATCTGTTGTTTGTGGTGCTACACTGCATAAACCAGCCTAGTTGTATTACATTTGAATTTTTCACATGGGTTCTGGAACTTAAACTTGAATCACCAATCATGTACAGTTGGTATACTTACTTCCTGAGCTACCACCTCTGGACAGAAAAAAAATTATATTCTTATCATTCTTGAAGAATTTTCTCTGTGATCAGGCTTTTTATGACATTTTCAATGTGTGTAAAAATGAGGTTTAATACAGGTGTGATCAACCAGATGCAAATAACTCAGTGGATTTCTTTTCTTTTCTATTACCAGGTGAGGGTCGTTTTAGCCGTCCTATTTTCATCCAGGAGCCACAAGATGTCATTTTTCCTTTGGATTTATCCAGATCTGAAATCATTCTGACTTGTACTGCAAATGGTTACCCTTCACCCCGTTACAGGTAAAACTCAACTTCCTGGTACCACTGTTGTCCTCTTTGGGGTTGCTGTAATGTAGATACAACAATAAGAATTCTCAGGAATACTATGTCTTAGTCGTAGACCTACTGCTATTCAGCTTTGTCTACAGAAGTCATACAAGCATATACACATATCCTGAACACCAATACACTATTTCATGCTGCATTCTAGGCATCATTTTCAGGTGACCGGTACTATGTATCTGTTGCTTCTTCGGCATTTATTCTTGATATTAGTGGAAAGCAGGCCATATATACTTAGAACTGAGAAAGAAAGAGTGAAGACACCAAGAAATATAGAAGAAAGAGGCAAAGGAAGGCAGAAATAGGCAAGATAAAGAATTATTTGGTTTCACGATTCGAAAAAGTTATAGTTTATTTTGTATTCAGTGTACATATATTTCAGTTTAAGGACACTTCCTCATTTTCCCCACATAAAATAGCTTTCTATAAATAAATAAACAAGGTAAAAATTTCAATAAATTTCATTTGATCAAATTCTGAAACTTTCCCAGAGCTCCCACTGTGCCAAAAAAATTAATTGTAGAAAAACTATGTTGAAAGCAATTACGTACATTCTGAGGACAAAAGAGGATTTTTATTACAGGAATAAATGTTTGTCTCTCACAGAAAATTTAATTTTCAAAGCCATCATTTGTATGTTATTTCAAATTGCTCTGACTTTTCTCACATTTGTCTGTCTAAAAAGAACATGTGAAGTCTTCTCTGGGATCATTGCAATACACAATACATTGGAATAAATTAAAATTACAACAAAAATGTTTAAAGCAAACAATTTTCTCCTTAGACATCCTTCAGTCCTACAGTCACTACAAAGAAATATAGTAAAGGACAGGGAGGGAGGAAGAATGAATATTTGCTATCTTATTTACTCAGTTGCCATGTGAGTAGAATTCATATCTATAAATGTATGTATATAAATTGTGTTTTTCAGTGTTTTTTATTTAATTTAAATTAGAAACAAGTTTGTTTCACATGTCAATCACAGCTCCCTCTCCCTACCATACTCTCCTTCCCTCCTTCAACTCTCCCCCAGCCCCTCCCCCAACCCCCACTCCACTCTCAAAGGAGCATAAGGCCCTTACTGAGGGATCTCAAAAGTCTGTCACATGATCCAGGGCAAGGCCTAGGCCCTTCCCCATGTGTTCAGGCAGAGGCAGCATTCCTCCACATGGAATGGGCACCTAAAGTCCATCTGGATGACAGGGCTAAATGCTGATCTATTGCCCCAGGCCCCAAAGAATGCTGAGGCCTCCACACTGACAACCACATTCAGGGGGTCTGGTTCAGTTCCATGCTGGCCTCTCGGCCATCAGCCTGGGGTTTATGAGCTCCCCCTTGTTCAGGTCAGCTGTCTCTGTGGGTTTCATTCACCAAGTCTTAACCTCTTTGCTCATCACTCTCTGCAACTGGGTTCCAGGAGTTCAGTTCAGTGTTTAGCCGTGGATGTCTGCCTCTGCTTCCTTCAACCACGGGATGAAGGCTCTAAGATGGCATAAAAAGAAGTTGTCAATCATGCTATCAGGGAAGGGCATTTAAGGTAGTTGCTCCACTATTGGTTAGATTGCCAGTTGGTGTCATCCTTGTAGGTCTCTGGACATCTCACTGGTGCCAGATCTCTCTTCATACCTATAACGGCTCCTTCTTGTTTTTATTATTATTTTAATTTTAAATAGCTTGTTTTACATGTCAATCCCAGTTCCCTCTCCCTCCCCTCCTCCCATACCCGCCCACCATCCCCCCCCAGCCTCCCACCCTATCACCATTTCCTTCCACATAGGAGATATCTAGAGTCTGTCATTTTACTCAGGGAAGGGTCCAGGCACTCCCCTAAGATTCCAGTCTGAGGGAGCATCCCTTTTTTGTGTTATGGACACACGATGTCTGTTTGTATGGCAGGGATAAACACTGATCCACTGCCCAGGGCCCCATACGTTCTATTATGGTATCTCTCATCCTTCTTTCCTCTATTCTTCCCTTGACTCAACTTTCCTGCTCTCCATGTCCCCCTCTCTTCTCCTCTCCACCCCTTCTCTTTCTACCAGCTTCCTTATGGTAGACTAATTCCCATTTTTCTGAGGAATCTCCATACTGATTTCCAAAGTGGGTATACGAGTTAGCACTCCCACCAGCAGTGGAGGAGTGTTCCCCTCTCTCCACATCCTCTCTAGCATAAATAGTCATTGGTGTTTTTGGTTTTAGCCATTCTGACAGGAGTAAGATGGTATCTCAGAGTTGTTTTGATTTGCATTTCCCTGATGGCTAAGTATCTCTCAGGCATTTTAAACTCCTCTAATGAGAACTCTCTGTTTTGTTCTGTAGCCCAATTTTAATTGGATCTCTTGGTGTTTTGGAGACTTGCTTCTTGAGTTCTTTGTAAATTTTGGTGATCAGCCCTCTGTCAGATGTGGGGTTAGTGAATATCTTTTCCCATTCTATGGGCTTCCTTTTTGTCTTGTTGACTGTGTCTGTTGCCTTACAAAAGTTTCTCAGTTGCAGGAGGTCACATTTATTGTGGATCTCAGTGTCTGTGCTACTGGTGTTCTGTTCAAGAAGTGGTCTCTGGTACCAATTAGCTCAAGGATACCTCCCACTTTCTCTTCTATGAGGTTCAGTGTGGCTTGATTTATTCTGAGGTCTTTGATCTATTTGTACTTAAGTTTTGTGCAAGGAGATAGACATTGATCTATCTGCAGTCTTCTACCTTCCAATATCCAGTTATGCCAGCACCATTTGTTGAAGATGCTATCTTTTTGTTAATTTTAGCTTCTTTGTCAAAAATCAAGTGTTCATAAGAGTGTGGGTTTGTATCAGGGTTTTCAATTTGATCCCATTGGTCTACCTATCTATTTTTGTGCCAATACCAAGCTGTTTTCAGGACTATATCGCTATAATAGAGCTTGAAGTCATGGATGGTGATGCCTCCAGAAGTTCCTTTATTGTATAGGGTTATTTTGGCTATTTTGGGTCTTTTGTTTTTCCATATAAAGTCGAGGATTGTTCTTTCAAGGTTGTGAAGAATTGATAAATTGTATTTTTAAATGAAATGTTTTATTGGTAAGAACTGTGTGCAATGTGAATATAGGAAGAAAATTAATAAGCATCAGAATGACAATTGATTATGTGGTGATTTGGATTTTAAAAACATTTCCATAAAGTTTTAGTTTTTAGACTAGGAATTCAATGGGCATACAGAAAATGCAACAACTAAGTCAATTTTGACTAACTGGGTTGGCTTTCCTGGCTTTCCCCACTGTGATGACATACAGCCTACATATACATATGATAACTAGAGGAACGATTCACATATTTAAGTGGACAAATCCAAAGTCATCTGTGCATTATCTTGTATACAGCTTATGTTTTGTAACATATATTCCTCATCTTACATTTGTAACTAAACAGTTTATGGCTAAATCTGTTTTTTGCAAGAAATTTTAACATAATCCATAAAAAATAATTTTTAAATGTTCATTTTTTGCAATAGATGTAGCAGCATAAGCTAATGATTATGAAGACAGGTTTTTAGTGCATCAATGACATAAATAATGAATATGGTTAGGAAATCTAACAGTACTAAATGACTTATGTTCCCCATGTATTTGTAAACTAGAAAACTCAAAACAAACAATTGAGCTCCTTATTTCTAATCTTTAAAAGGGACTTCAACAGATCCCTCTATTTACATAATAAGAAACTCATGAGCAAGAGACTTTGGAATGAGAAAGTATTAAATTTGTAATGCCTAAATGCCAGACTCAGGCCCAAAATCTTTCATAATATAACAAAGGGCAGTGGTATTTCACACTCTGTATTCTAGCCGTACAATGTAAACACATTGCCATTTCCGCTTACATTTGTGTTTTCCTTTTCACAATTTAGTAATAATGATATTAAAGTTAGATTATTTGGTAGAGTGTACACTGGAGTAAAGGTCTTCATTATTTAAGAGTCCAAGGTCATATGAGGTTATTTAGGCAAAATGAGAAACAGTACAAGAGAGCCTTTTCTTGTGGCAACTCTGTCCTACAAATAACTGCAGGAAGATCATTTTCTCCTTTTAGTAAATACTACCTCCTTCCTAGAGTGACAGTGGCTTTTCTTATATAGTATTTTTTTTCCTTTTTTAATTAAATTAGAAACAATCTTGTTTTTCATGTCAATCCAGTACCTTTTTAATCCGTTTTTTTTTTTAATTTTTGTTTTGTTGTTTTAGTCAGGATCATAGCAACATTTTTTCTATTGTTTTCCTTTTCACCTCAAATGTATTGTTACATTGATTATTTTGTAGAGGAAAAAAGTGCTGTTTATATTCTTGTTGTTCTGTAAATTATGTATAGTAAATTGAATCTCGGGAGGAAATGGCAATCTTTAAAAGCAGGTCTTTGGAAATAGTTAAGGAATAGTTTGAGTAAAGTCATTTTCAGTGAACTAAATGCCTTTATAAACGCAATTAAAGTATAAAGCCAGGAAGGATTGCTTGTATAGTTTCAAAGCTCAGGGAACTCATGAGATGATAGAGTTGAGTAAGGGAGCCATGCAAATGTATAAACAAAGAGATTGGGCTACTCAAATCCAATGGTGAGTGACAAACGCCAGTAACTAGAATACTGGGGAAAATCAGATAGCAGACAACTTAATCACAAATATTCAATTTGAAAAAGTGATTAACACACACATACATTATCTGTGTACATCATCTACTTTTCTCTCACACTAAAGAAATATGAATGCCAGTGCTGACCTCTGACATCTACTGATAATTATTCATAATCGGGAGAGAATGGACACACTCATTAAGTGTTAGCCTCACCTAGAAAATGAGGGAGGGAGTCAGTTGAGTCTCTGGAGATGACATTCTCTCCTCATACATTTCTCCACGTCATGTTAAAGACTTCCTGAAATCAAGCCTGGTATACACTGTGAAAGTTTTATAATGGAAAGACACAGGATGCACAGGACAGCAATGGGAAAGCAAGCAAGAGGGTTCTTTTCAAGGGGGGAACAGGTTCAATTTATTCTGTAATATCAGCAGCAGACAAACTTAAAATGGAGATTTTAGTGTTTTCCTCCAGTGGTCTGGGGTTGGGCTCAGATATAGGTGCCTGTAAGAAGCACTTGAAGCAGAGAACAGACTTGTGAGATATAACACACAAAGGCATGCATGGATGTGCATATTACCAAAGGACAGAAAACAGAGCTCCCAGTCATATAGCCCAATCAAGTCTCAACAACTTAATTTTGAGAGATATTTCTCAGTAAAAGCATCATATTTAACTTCAGATTCATCACATTTCCTAAAACTAATGTGTTAGTTCACATGCATAAAATATTTACTGCACACACATTTTCTAGTTTGTATCATAGGAAAATTCACTTGGATATATAATGCCATCAGTAAAGTATGTCTGACAGCCACTTTAATGAAGTAAAACTATTTCTCCATTTGTTTAAGCATATTAATTAGGACAAAGCCCACACCCAGAGCTGAACTCCTGATCTATATGCACAGTTTAATAATCATTGTACCATAGTGATTAGAATGATTACAGGGCCACTGTGAAAAATTCATTTGCAGCAGCTAAGGCAACAACTTTGAATTTGTGTTGAAAAACAATTACTGAGCTTAATTAGGAGCATGTAATGATGACAGCAGTTATTTCAGGGATTGATTCCAAAATTAAAGAGAGCTGGCAAACTAAGTATGGTATATACCCTTCTCTTTGAAAATGATAGCGAACAGGAGGTCTGAGACCATGCCCTGTAAGTGAATTATGAAAGACAGGTTTTTAGTGAGAGCAAGGAGACTATTGGCATCTTGAGACAGGTCTGCAGGAAGGAAAGTTTCCTGCTTTTTGCGTTCTAAGAGCACAAACAAGAAGCAGTATGTACAAATTACTATTGAAATAATGTTGGGAAACTTATGCTGTATAGATGGACTCTTTGATGGCTGCTGTTCATCTTCATTTTATTAAAAAGAAGCCAGGTCCGTCCGATATTGGTGGTACACTCTTTTAATCCCAGCACTGGGGAGGCAGAAGCAGGTGGATTGCTGTGAGTTCAAGACCAGCCTGGTTTACAAGAGCTAGTTCTAGGACAGCCTCCAAAGCCACAGAGAAACCCTGTCTCGAAGAGAGAGAGAGAGAGAGAGAGAGAGAGAGAGAGACAGAGAGAGACAGAGACAGAGACAGAGACAGAGACAGAGACAGAGACAGAGACAGAGAGAGAGAGAGAAGATGACATATGTAGGGATATGTAGGAGGTGGGCAAATCATTTCTTCAAATCCCCTGGTTGATTTGACATTTGAGTCATCACTTGCATCTTTAATAATAGTATAAAGGAGTGCACAATTTTGTGTTTCTTTTCAGTTTTAGTAGACATTAGTCAGATTTTCTCCAGTAAATCTGTCACAATGCTGCCTCCCCCAAAAAAATCAATGGTATTCAAAATAACTTTGTAGAATGTCATTCCTTTTTGAAAACTGGGTATATTACATAGGAAGAGGCCATTTAGTGGTAGGCTCAGGACAAATTACCCTAAAGCAATTATCTTCCACCTGTGAGTTATGACCCATTTTGGAAGTCAAAGGGTTCAACCATTCGAAAACACAGATATTTACATTATGACACATAATAGTAGAAAAATAGAGTTACAAAATAGTAACAAGAATAAGTTTATTCTTGGGGATACCAGCATCAGGAAGGTTGATAACAACAGCCCTAAAGCCTGGAATCAATAGCAGAAGCAGAAGGTCTTTCACATATACCTCTCACCTTTCTATTTTTAAACTAAGAATATAGTTTTCATTTCACAAGTCAGTTTCCAAGGACCCTAATCAAAGGAACTTACTTTTTTCTACAGATACATAATCAATGAAAACATGAACAGTCAGTCCCTATTGAATTTTCACTAACTCTGAACATCAGCTCTTCTTTTTATTTTTATCCTGACAACTGAACACTCTTAATTAAACCTAGCACTACATACACACGCATCTGTCTGTAATTAGGGATTTTGTCTCTGAAAACTCCAATATCATGGAAAAGCTACACTGAAAGACTGTGTGTGTGCTAATATACAGTTATAGCCCTTCAACCATGACTCTGACAATAAATGAAGAGAGGTTTGGCTTTTTTATCTCTATTGTTTTTACCTCTATAAGTGCAAGCTATGATTCATTACTTTCAAATGTCTATTTCCATAAATACTTTATGTGACTACACACAACTTGTAACTTTGAAATATATATCATTAATGTGCAATGTTTATAATTTAAAATATGAAGTTGGGAGGTTTTCAGTTGGAGAAGTGAATCTAGTAAGATGGTTTGAGTGCATATTTACTGGCCTTGAAGTGACCAAATGGTGTCTTATGAAGCTAGTTCTGCTTCTTTCCAAATAGTGCTAATGCCCTGTATTATGTAGACAATTCATGTACTGAAGGACTGTTAAATAATTGCTAACCCGAGATTTTGACTTCTTAAAATAAAAAGTTCTCAAGCTGTATTTGTTTTGCTAGCATATAATTTTAGGTTGGCTTTCCCGAGTGCCATTAAAATATTTTCAACAAGATTAATTTTCCTAGTGGCAGACTCACAAAGACAATTTTGAAGCTGTCGGTTTATTATTGTTTTGTTATCAACCTTGAATGGGTATTGTCAGATCCTTGCTGGATTTCTCTGTGCTGGATATAATGTAGCCTTCTTGTGTTTCTGTCTCTAAATCATTTCTGACATTCAGTTTTACAGTGTCAAATGTGGGGATTCAGATATGCTATACATTATTTGAAAAGTCTCTAAAGAAATAGATGTCAGAATTATTGACTTATGTCTAATTTTATTTGCCATGTTAAGAGTTCTCATCATTTGCTGGTTTCATGCGAGTGAGTATTTGTAACTTTTGAAGGGTAAAGAGCTTCCAAACAACCTATCAGATTGTATCAATGGCCCTAGAACAGTTGTATTTCCAGGCTTGGTAGCATAGCCTTTAATCTCAGCATGTGGAAAAGTAAAATATGAGAACTGCTAGTTCCTAGTTCCCAGCCAGTCAGGACTTTAAAGTGTGTTTGGAGTCAGCATGGGCAACTTGGTGAGAAGATGTCTGAAGACAAAAAAGAAATTAAAATGACTCAGTAGATGTATCCCAGTGGTACAGAACATAGGTAACAGTGTGTGAGGTTGGTCCTATTTCAAACCCAGGACTACTAACAAAAACAACACTATTACCTTTAATAAATCTACAGAGATCATGTAATCACATGCTTTGTTTGTTTATTTTTGTGCTTATAGGAATTCAAACAGTATAATTTTATAATAAAGAGCATTCAGTTCCCTATATTACATATGTAATTTTATTTCTTTTTTATCTTCAAAGGTGGAAACAAAATGGCACAGATATTGATTTCAGAATGAGTTATCACTACAGGTTGGATGGAGGCAATTTGGCTATCAGCAGCCCCCGCACAGATCAAGATATTGGCACATACCAGTGTTTGGCCACCAACCCTGTGGGTACCATTCTTAGTAGGAAAGCAAAACTACGGTTTGCATGTAAGTTTGTGGAAAAATTTCATACTCAATATGACCTGGAAAATAGTCTGGTGATGTTGGGCCAAAAAGGTAGCCTTTTCAGTAGCCTGCTTTTATGTGTATAAAAAGTTTTGATTTTATAAATCTAGGATCCCAAGGATAATCGAAATCTGTTATATTTTAGATAGAAAATATTTTTTAAATTGTATATTCTGAAGTATTCTTAGAAACATCTCTAAAAGTGCCACATATAATATTAAGACGACATATATAATATTGTTGCCCTTTCATGTTTTTCTTTTGAGTAAGGTATTAATTATGAATAGTACCACAACCCAAGGCAGTGGTGTCATGTGGGTCAGGAGGGTGTTTCTCTAGGAACAGTGATTATACACCCACAGTGAGAAGTAGGTGGAAATAAAGTGTTTGCCACAGGCAGGCTTTATATTAACTGTAACAATGTCCAGCTGCATCACATAAATGTCATCCAAGTAATTACCTTTGTGACATTTGGGGACATTAGCAGATGAACAATAGACACTGCTTCTTATATCCTTTATATATAGTGATTCCAGGGACTAAAATGCTTCATATTGGATTCATTGAAAGCCTTGTTTGAGAGTAATTATATCCCACAGTGTGGACAAAGTAGAAGGCTTGCTTTTCCCCCTTGGATGATTCCCTGTACTCTAAAAAAGCCAGGGAACCACAATATTACTTGTTTCTGTTTGGTAACTCATGGGAATATCTGTTATGTCTATAAATTTCAAAAAAACAAATTTAAAGATTTTGCTTAGAAATGTGAGTCTCATCCTACCCAGGAAAAAGTAAGTACTCTAGTGATGTGCAGATATATTCCCAAGTTTGTTCAGCACCAGAGATCCCATGATCTCCACAGAGTGCAAGGAGGTTCAATGTTTGGAAGACAGCTCGATTTTGTTATATGCATATAATCAATAATTATTGCAGTTGATTTCTGCATTCCATCTTGGAGAATCACTTGAAAATAAAATAAGGAGAAAAACATGGACACATATCCTACAGAAATGTGCAGTTGTTAGAAGCTAACTGATTAGTTTGGAAGGTAGACATCTCCAGAATATTGGAACCAGATTACACACTGACAAATTCCAAAGGAAATGTAATATGACATAGAATATTTATTTGTGATGCTCCTGTGTTTCTGTTGGGTTATGTGTCAAATATCTGGCCCTGGCATAGTGGTGTAGGCATACAATCACATTACGTGAGTGCTGAGAGTGTCCCAATAAAAAGACAAACACACAAACAATTTAAATAAATCCTGAATATTTATATCTGAAAGTACTACATTGTGTTTTACATACCCACATATTTCTTCTTAATTGCTTTCACCCTAAAAAACACTTTAAAATTTCTTATATGATTTTAAACTGTCTGTTTTAGGCTAAAGAAATACTCGAATCTGAAACTTTTCATAACTAAAATATATTGCCCAAATAGAAAAAAAAGTTAAACTAAAAAGATGTTGAATTATTTACTTTCATGAGTCAGATAAACCAATTATTTCATCATAGATATTCATTATTTTTTCCTTGTTAGTCTAAAGGTTAATGCCTACTGTGCTTGTCACACAAGCTTAAGGACCTAAGTTCAAACTGAGCACCTATATAAAAAAGCTGAGTGTTAATGACATAACCCTGCCACTTCAACCCAGGGAAGTGGAAACAATAGGATCTTTGGCTTGCAGGCCACCTTATCTAGTTCATTTGGTCAGCTCCATGTTCTGTAAAGAGCCACAAGTCAAAAAATAATCTGCAAATAAGTGAGGAAGTAACATAAAGTTAATCTCCAGCCCTCACAAACATGTACACACACAGGAACAGCATATGACCAAACACACATATTCACTCTATCCATGGAAAGAGTTGATGCACCCTTGTCCAGTATTTGCAAACTTAAAAGCTCTTCGCCACTAAGGCTGACTTAGGCACTAAGATATATTATTTACGATTTATTAAAGCTCTCCTGAGGATTCAGAAAGCAAAGTCTGCCACAAACCATAGAAGCCAGGCACACACCTTTAATCCCAGCAGCCAGAAGCTAGGAGGTGGTGGTACACACTTGTAGTTCTAGGACTCAAGATGAAGAGGTAGACAGATCTCTCTGAGTTAAAGACCACCCAGGAGTACATGAGATTGAATCAGTCTACAAGAGTAACAGATCATATGTCTTTAATCCCGGAACTAGAGGGGTATGACAGATAGAAGCAGGGTCTTCAGTATTCACTAGGAGGCATTCCTTCTCCAGCCACACTTAAGATCGGATGGCTCAGTATCCAGGACGATAGAAAGATAATGAAGTCTCAGGATTCTCCAACCATGCTGAAGAGAGGCAGCAGTTTGAGTCTTGGTGAAGAGCTAATGTGTGGGTCTGCCCCTTCAGTCTGAGCTTGAGGTGAGAGCTAGTGGCCAACTTTGATTTCCAGATCTTCAGCTTGATTCCCAGTATCAGTCTCTGGGTCTTTTATTTATTCATGTTACAACTGACATTGTGAAGAGAGAAAAAGGCCAAGAGTTCTGCCTTCTTGATACTTGTCTGAAAGGCTTCCTGTCTCAACCACTGAGATAGTGTCTAGAGTATAACAAAGAAATTGTAGTCTAGATGCACACTGGCCCAGTGGAGAGTTCCCGAACTTCATGACCTTTATCTTCATTGTTGAATGCATCAACATCTCCTTAAATTAACAATAGTTGTTTGACTGAAAAGGTCATTGGCTGAATAACAATGTGGGTCAAATTCTGGTGTTTCAGATACAGTCATTTCCAAATTCAGCTTGTATGTCTATCATGTATCCAACAGAATGCAATTAGGTCACTTCTCACAATAACACTCTGTTGAGAAATTTACAGATTGAATCTCATGCCATCATTTACTGTATTAAACAATGTCATGGATTACGTGGGAAATGAGTATGAGGATTTTCATTCACATAGACACTTTAGAAATGATATCTCTAATTCTCAATTTCATTATTTCTCTAACTCATCCAATCATTATATACATACATATACACATACATACATCATATACATATTTACATATACAATTACATATTTCTTATATTTTTGGTTGTGAGCCTAGCCTTTAATGGCTGAGCTATCTCTCCAGCCCTACAATTACATATTTCTAATTGCTATTTCACATAGAAAACACTTCTAGTATATATATAAAGTTTTTCTCATGTTTCAAAGGTTATTCAATGTTTTTATTTGAATGTATCAATTAAACTAAATAATGTTTTTTAATTTTGGGTATATATTTATACACACATTTTGATCATATTTACTTCCCAATTCCTCTATTTTATTCTCCCATACTACTTTTACTTTCCTTTCAGTTCAAACTAGTTCCCCATATGTTTTAATATTTCTGTTGATAACACAATGAGTTTCATTAGGATTGCTTCCATAAACATAACTGATGGTACACAAGCATGGCAGCTTATCAGTAGCTGTGCAACTGAAGCAAATATACCTCCTTCTTTATCAACCACCAATTTTCTATAAATCTTCAGGGAACTGCTGGTCTGTGAAATGCCCAATATTGTTCAGGGTTTGCAAAGGAAATTGTAACTTGTAAAAGTTCCTGAATTCGGAAGCCACGTTTCAAGAGTCCCACAGCCATAAGTCAATATTGCACAATTCTCCATCCCTTCCTCTAGTTCTGACATTCTATATGACCCCTTTTGTATCATGTTTTCTGAACCTAGAAAAGGGTGTGATACAAGGTGTCTCATATATGGCTGAGAATTCAAAAGTCACTTAATTTTCATCACTTTTACCACATATAAGTCTTTACAATTACCACTGTCCATTGTAAAAAGTTTATCCAAACAAACCAGCCAAGAGCACATATCTAAGGATATAAAGATAATTAATTGAAAGGAACTTTGACAGAAGCACCATATTCACTTAATAAGACAATAGCAAGACTTTCCCCACCATAGCTTATGACCTCCTCATTTACAGTGTCTTTTGACTGGGTTTACAGTACCAACTATAAATTCTTTCCTGTGTAGTAAGTCTCCATTCCAACTAGATAGTGAGTTATAGTCCCCATAACAGGCCCACCATTATTGAACCAGAGAGCACAGGTTACCTGACCAATCAGTAGCATTGCACATAGTGTCCACAGCTGAGTATTACTGTTAATGACAATTTTCTCCCAGCAGACTGGAGAGCATGGACAGGCACTAGGAGGATAGACAGCATGGAGTGAATGTCCTTCCCGATTCTAGCTTGATTTCTCAGTCTGGCCAACACAGTATGTGCTCTCTTTGTGAGATAGAGAGTTACTTTCCACAGTCTTTACATATACCAACTCTATTGAACTAGCCAATAACAATAAAGTCAGATTTTTCTGTTGTCCCTATTTTATAGAATAGAAGCTTGAACTCTAAATAGATTGTGCCTTTTCCCAGGGTATATTGTTATTAAACACATTTTAATTTAATTATATTTATTTAGAAAAATAGAACTTGCTTTATAACTTGTCCAGACAAGTTATGGGATCCCGCTTTCTTTATTTCAGTTTCAAATAATGTAATTTGTTTTCTGAATATTTTTCTCAATGAAGAACTCTAAGGCAGTAAACTGTGAAATAAGCTTTGGGGTTAGTGTTGAAGTGCCTGGTACACTGCATGTGTTCCTTCATGAAAAAGATTTCCCACCCAGCTTTGCAGCTTCCCCCCTTCTGTATTTAATTCTCCAGGTCTCTCTCAAGAATGAGATGAAACCTAGAAGACATCAGATATACCTGCCTTTGCGCTATACTTCCCTGTTTCTGTCTTCTTCTGTGAACTCCCCCCCCATCCATCTCTTCTTAAAAATTTAATTGATTTTCCCTGTTTCAGAATGATTTTTAAGAACTTTATTATTTCCAACATTATTTTTCTCAACACAGTCTAGTCAAGCTACTAAGTAGGAAACTTTACAACCGTGTGTGTTTTTAGTTTATTTTTCTACACTTTATTTTGAGAA